GGTCAAGTATATACCAATTATAGTTATGGGCTTAAACAATAATCCAATAGTTTTGGGGTCTTTTTAGTTCCAAGAATGGAGCTTTATGACTCAAGTTCGTTTCTAGGCCAAGAGGTGCCACTCTCAGTGATATTCATGTCCCATAAGCAGTAAAGTCTCGATCTTTAAGGTCCTTTTATAACCATGCATGAGTTTGGAGTCATTCCTTGGAAGTTAGTGGCTATTTTCCAAGTTTGGTCTCACTTGGTGGGTTGCAAGCCACCAAGTAATCGACTTTATGGGTTAAGACGGGCTATTGGACTCAAATCTGTAATTTGGACTTAGTGTCTTAAGGGATTAAGCAGTTTTGAAGAAAATGGCTTAACAGAGTAGTACGTTGGGTGTACACGCCAGTACGCGCAGCGTACAAGCCATGCAAGCTGTACGCATAACGTATAGAGGAGTACGCTCAGCGTACTTTCAGATTTTGGGCTTTGCGACATTTGGGCCTCGGGTTGGGCCAATCTTTGGGCTTAGCAGATGTTGGGCCAAAATGGGCCATTAGAAGTCAGATAATGGACCAAGGACATGTTTTGGGCTTAAGGGAAGGCCCATTTGAGGAGTTAGGCCCAATTTAGAAAACTGGGTCATTAGTGGGCCTTTAGTGGGCCATTAGTGGGTTTGGAAAGATTAGAAGGAATTGGGCCTAGGTCATGGTCCAAATTAGGTCAGGGGGTAAAATGGTCATTTTACCGTTAGAAGGATTCTCAGTTTTTGACTAAGTGTTTATTGTGATAATGATAGTCGGGGAGTCGTTGGAGCAGCCATCAGAGATTCCCTCACACGAGTTTTCAGCAGCCAGCTTGAGAGGCGAGTCCTCTTCCAGTAGGAACGGGTCTAAGGCACCAAGATGTAGTTATATGTTTCTGGACTTCGGTCCGATGTCGGGGCAAGCCCGAGGAATGTTTTTATGATTGATGTCTTCGTGATTCTTGCATGTGTTTGTTTATGTGTTCCGAACTTCGGTCCAATATCGGGGCAAGCCCGAGGATGGTCTAGCTTATATGTTATGTGTTATGTGTTCCAGACTTCGGTCCGATGTCGGGGCAAGCCCGATGAATGTTTATATGTTTATGTTATATGTTTATGTGTTATATGCCTGTTGCTATGTTATATGTATACCAGACTTCGGTCCGATGTCGGGCGGGGCCCGATGTAGCGGGAAAGGCCCAATGTATGTTATTATGTGATTATATGTATGGTATGTGGTAGTTTGGGGAGACTCACTAAGTTTCGTGCTTATAATTTTTAGTTTTGGTTTCAGGTACTTCCATTAGCAAGGCGAAGAGCTCGGGATGACTACATGGCACACACCACAACTTTTAGCCTGGGATGTTTAGACTCTGATATTTGGCATATGATTTTGATACAATATTTTATTATGATGATTTGAGATATATTACTTATGTTTTTTTGGTATGACAAATGGTATTTATGGTTTTTATAATAAATCAAAACGAAATTTTTGGACCATATTTTTGGGATGTTTCACTGAGCGTACCTCCGAAGTACGCCCCACGTACTCGTATAGTTCAACCATTTTCGAGTTAACTCGGTTTGGGTTGACTCGGCTGGGTTGACTCAGTGGGTTTATGAATTTTGACCAGTTGACTTTGAGTTGACCAAGTTTGACCAAGTTTGACTTTTAAGGGGTTTTTTGGTATTATTGAGTTTTGATGGAATTTGTCACTTGGTGGTTGTAAGCATTTGAGTTGAGAGCTGAGATGCGAAGTCGGGCCTTATCAGTTCTGTGCTGCTTGTGAGGTGAGTTTCCTCACTATACTTTCGGGTCGAAGGCACCCGAGCCAACCCATTGGTTTGATAACTTGATACTGTTGATATGTTGAGTATGGGATAGATATGCATGCTAGTTTTGATATGCTAATCTGGTAGATCTGTAGGACTACCTGTGATACTGTCTGTTTATCTATTTATGATATTATATGTTATATGTCGACATATTGTGTGGGTTGGGTTGAGGTTGTATTGCTCCGTGTTATAGCCAACAAACCCTGGAGCATACTCGTTATGAGCTGAGGGTCAGGGAGGGCATGTCAGACTCATACTAAGGGCTCATGAGCATTCCAGATACGAGTTGAGGGCCAGGAAGGGCATGCTAGACTCGTACTGAGGGCTTAGTGGTAGTCAGTCCGATGACTGATCAGGTCGGGAAGCAAGCCAGTCATAAGTTGTGGGCCCAGGGGGCAAGCCAGACTTATGTTGTGGGCTCAGGGGTAATCTAGTCTGTTAGTTGTGGACCCATTGCATGTTGTTATTATATTTGTGCTATTTGTTATGTATCAGTATTTTGGGGGTACTTACTAAGCTTTGGGCTTACAGTTTTGGATTATGTTTCAGGTACCTCAGAGGATCGCGGGAAGGCGAAGGCGTGATCGTGCACCTCTTCATGTTTTGTTTCACGATTTTAGGATTTCTCTGATGTTGAACTTGTTTTGAAAACAATTTGTAAACAATGATGGTTTTTGGGTTTAATTCAAAGTTTAAACTTTTTCATGAATTTTATGAATGTTACATTTAAGTTTTTGAATTGTACGTTATGTATATATTCACTAACAGTGTCACTGACTTGTTGTATTAACGATCATATCGTTAACACTAATAATGATCCATTTCCAAACGTACTAGATGTTTATTGTATTTTTGATAATTCACGACATCTATTTCTATCCACTAAAAATTATAAAAACAACCATGCATATACGTAGATTATCCATACATAAGAGTTTTTCAATAACTTACCGGATCAAATGAACTATGCAAAGTAGAAAAAACTATTGTGAGAGTTTCTTCATTTAAAACATTGATTGTAAACTTATAAGATAAACCAATATTTTTTCGTTTGTTAATAGGGAAAATAACACAAAAGTCACTAAGTTTACACAAAAATTCTAATTTAACACTGTTTTTTTTTTCAATTTGTTACCATTTTTACCACTTGATCGGTCAATCCGGTTGTCTGCTGACGTGACATGATGACGTGTCAAAATTGATTTTTTTCCACAAACGACACTAAATTTACACTTTTTTCAATTTTGACACTAAGTATTTTGTTTTAAAAAAATTATTTTTTTAATAATTTTGACGCTTTATTTTTTTTGTTCTAAATCAAACATCACTTTTTTTCAATTTTGTTTAATATTGATCATTTTCCATTTGAAATCGTATAAATATTTTTTAATTACATTTTAAACTGTATAATATATATATATATATATATATATATATATATATATATATATATATATCATTTAAAAACCACATATCCGTATAAATACATAGTTTTGTTTGTTTGTTTTTTTTATTACACATTTTAACCATAATGCTATGTATAATTATGAATTAGTTATATAAAAACCATATTCTACTTATTTATTAGTTCTTCATTTTCAAATGAAAATTACGCTTGATTTTATATATAAATTTAGAATGTTTCTAAAAAATTCCTTAATGATAGGATGTGTTTGTGGGTGTGTGGGCTTACGTGCCTATATATAGTCCCAAACATATATGCCACATCATTAGTAGTTCAAGATCCTACAAGTGTAACATATATTGTAATAGTTGATGTCTAAGGATCCATGATTGGAACGTTATAATAAATCCATATCATGAGAACCAAACTAACCATAAGCCTCGAACATGAATAACAAAATTTTATCAATTATTGTTTATGAAATTTGATTTTATTTATTTTTTTGTTGTAGATTTTATACATATTTTATTTACAATTAAATATTCTATTAGGTATATACTTAAAATGAAGAACTAATAAAAAAGTAGAATACGGTTTTTATATAACTAAAACATATTTATACATAGAATTATGGTTTGAATGTAAATAAACATTATATTTATACAAAAATGTGGGTTTTAAATGAAAAAATATATTTATACGGTTTAAAATGTTAAAAAAAACTATTTATATGGTTTCAAATAGAAAACAGTCAACATTGAATAAAATTAGAAATGATAATGTTCGATTTGGAACAAAAAAATGGAGTGTCAAAACTGAAAACAAATTAAAATTTAATGTCAAATTTGAAAAAAGTGAAAAATTAATGTTTTTTATGGGAAAAAAAATTCAAATTTGACACGTCAGTATATGTTACGTCAGCATCCCATGTCATCAAAACCGACACACCATCATGCCACGTCAGCAGACAACCGGGTTGACCGGTTAGAATTGTAACAAATTGAAAAAACACGGTGTCAAATTTGAGACAAAAAAAACAGTATCATATTAGAATTTTGATGTAAACTTAGTGAGTTTTGTGCTATTTACCTCTATTAATATTATTTAATTTATTTATTTTAAATCGATACTCCGTGAATAAGCTAGATACAAAATATTCACTATATATTATATAGAAAGTTGAATAATTACCATTAAAATTTTATTAATAATAAAAGTTAACATTTTAAAAAATTAAACTGTATATATTTATCTTTAACCACATTAAAGGATAAAACTAAAATAAAAAAATGATAAAATTAAAGTAATTATATATATATATATATATATATATATATATATATATATTAAAAAGTATTTTGGGAAGTATTATTTATTTTTTAAAGTTATTATTAGAAAAGATAAAATAATCGAAAAATCAAACCAATATAAACAAATAATAGAACCGATCGAATTAAATTGTGAAATTCTGTATATTTAGTTTTATTTCATATAAAAAACCACTTCAATTTTGATTTTGAAACCAAACTGAAACCAAAATTTGAAAAACTCTTAGAAAAAAAAACTAATTCAATTTTGATTTTTAAACAAACCAAAGCCAAATTTTTGGAAAACTCTTAAATAATAAATAAATACTAAAAATATAAAAATACAGCCAAAATGAGAGTTTCTGAAAATTGTAAAACCAATTGAGGCCCGTGCCATTTCTGTTTTGGTCCAGACCAACTTTTGTACATTTCAAATCGGGTCTGTATGAACTCAGAGCTTCTGTTTTACCAAATTACCCTCCGATTTCCTCATTTCTCTCATCATCGGCGTAATTCAAGAACTCCAAGAACCTCTTGCTTCCCTTGATTCTCCGAAGGTTTCTTCTTTTCAACGACCCTTCCGCCCACAATTCTTCGATTCATCATCCTCGAATCTTCAAGTAAGATTCTTTTTTCAATTCTCAAGCTTTGAATTCGTTTTAAGGGTATCATTTCTTTTCAATTTCCGCTTTACTTACAAGACAAGAAGGGTTTTGCTTCTCGTAACAGATGGATCGATTTGTGCTTTTGATCTCGTTCGTTCCCCCCTAATTTGCGCCTATTTTAATGCTTGATCTGGGGCTTTCTTTGAAGATCCTAATTTTATTTAGGGTTTTGAGTAAATGAGTATAAACTAATGAAGATCTGTTACTTGATTATTCGTTAATTGATTTGATGATTATCACCTGCACATTCTTGATCGTCGGAATTTTCAGAGAATTAGCTGTTACATGCCCCGTTTGACTATAATTCTACCCTAATTATGCATACATTACTACTCTCATATGGATCGGACTCTCTCCCTGGATTAGTCATTGACATTAGAAACTGAAAACATCATTGGTTATCTTGTGCCTATTTTAGTTTTCATGTTAATTTTATGGTTCACACTTCACAGCTGCTATTGTTTCCTTTTGTGACTTAATCCAGTAAGCTATATATGAGTGTTTCTTTTTGACTTAATGCAGAAAGAATGACTTAACATATAAAGTCATGGAAAGAAGGGTTTTCACCATTTTAGTCTCAATTTTTATACAATATTTTTCTCCTTCCATTTCCCAAGTATGCTATTGTTTTCTCAAATATCTTTAAAACACCATTTATAAATTTGTGTAGCTACTGTGTAAATCTTGTTTCCAATTTGCTAATCAACTACTGACAATGCTTCAAATTTGGACTCTTTAGATGATTAATTTAGTATACTTACATAACACTTACTTTATTCAACACTCATTCCACTTATACTTTTATCAAAACAGGTTTCAAGAAATCTTGATTATCTAAGGTGTAGAGGTTCTCACATATGAGCGGCAATGGCCGATCATCAGCCTAACTTTCCCGCCGGATACTCAGTCGGAATCGCCCCCTCCACCCCTGAGCCACCACCATCCCGGAGACCCGAACCCAAAATAAGCCCACCACCTTTCACACCACCACCGGGTCCCATTTTTGCACCACCCACCATACAACCACCACCAAACCAGATACTCTCCCCCTCCCCTTCCATTAAGTCCTCACAATTATCTGCAAATGGAATCAGAACAGGCGGCCCTCCTCCACATTTAAGCACACCGCCAGGACCACCGGTGTTTTCTTCGCCGGTGCAACCTGCCGCCGTCCCTTTCCGAACATCTCCGGCGACTCCTCAGCCAGTTGCATACTCTTCCATGTCATCTTTGTCAGCTTCACCACCACCTTCTGGTTTTTCAGATGGGAATAATGAGTATCAGCGCCAGGTGTCGACTGATGGAGATGACATGGCGGCTCTTTCTGATGCTCCAAATGTTTTACTTTCAGCACGTAAGGTATCTCTGTTATATCCGTGTTTTTTCTTGATTGAATTTTTGTACATTTCTTCTTTTAAAAGCATTACATTTTATATGAACATTTAAAAACGCATTTTCCTGGTTGCATGGTTTTGGTATAAGGGTATTCACGTCTTTTACACAGATGTGAGAGCTAGAACGAGTCCCTATCCCACCTTTTTGGGTGGGGTTCAATGCAAGAATTAGCAACATACTTTCATTGATCACTTATTATAACATCCCACTTTCATTTCTTCATATTACAACATTGTACTTCAAAAACTCTACCAATTATAGCAATATTTTATTGCTATAATTGGGTAGATATTTCAAACTGCAATGCCTCAATAAGAAAAAGAATTGAAAGTAGAATGTTGTAATAGAAAGAAATGAAAGCAAGATGCTACAATACACAAATAAATCAAAATACATTGCTATTTCTCACATTTATGTATCGCTATTATCCATAATGATTTTACTTATTTACCCCTTCTATTTTCTACATGTAGGTACTAAAACAAAAGAAACTCATGAATGTACCCAGCCTAGGTTTCGGGGCACTCGTGTCCCCAGGTCGAGAAGTCCTCCACGGTCCTCAAATAATCCAACGGGACCCACACCGTTGCCAAAATTGCGGGGCCTACGCAAATCTCTACTGCAACATCTTACTCGGATCCGGCCAATGGCAATGCATAATTTGTAGAAACCTAAACGGAAGTGAAGGCGAATACATCGCCTCCACCAAAGACCAACTCCTTAACCTCCCGGAACTCGCGTTCCCATTGGTTGATTTCATCCAAACTACAAACCGTCGCCCCGGTTTCATTCCCGTTTCCGATTCCCGTGTCTCCGCCCCTATCGTCATCGTAATCGACGATTCCCTCGACGAACCCCACCTCCAACATCTGCAGTCTTCCCTACATGCTTTCATCGATTCCCTTTCCCCCACCACTAGAATCGGAATCGTATCCTACGGTCGAACGGTCTCCGTTTACGACCTCTCCGAACCGTCGATCGCGTCCGCCGATTTGTTACCGGGACACGTGTCACCGAGCCAAGACGCGTTGAAACAACTTGTGTACGGAACGGGGATTTATCTTTCCCCGATCCACAATGCGTTACCCGTCGTGCACTCGATTTTTTCCTCTTTAAGACCGTATAAGATGAATGTTCCGGAAGGTTCTAGAGACCGCGCGATGGGGGTTGCGATTGAAGTCGCGTTAGCGGTTATCCAAGGTCCGAGTCCGTCTGGCGAAATGACAAAAAAGCCCGGGGGGAGTAGTCGGGTGATAGTATGCGCAGGCGGGCCGAACACATACGGTCCCGGGTCAGTCCCGCATTCGTTTTCCCATCCGAATTATCCGCACATGGAGAAAACCGCGTTGAAATGGATGGAGCATTTAGGCCGGGAGGCTCACAAGCGGAACACAGTTATCGATGTTTTATGTGCGGGGACGTGTCCGGTACGAGTCCCGATTCTACAACCGCTCGCGAAATCCTCCGGGGGCGTTTTGGTCCTTCACGATGATTTCGGCGAAGCGTTTGGTGTGAATTTGCAACGCGCGTCTACTCGCGCGGGCGGGTCCCACGGGTTGATGGAGATTCGGTGTTCGGATGACGTGGCGGTCACTCAAGTTATCGGACCGGGAGAAGAAGCGGTTACGGATAACCACGAAGCGTTTAAGAACGACAATGCGGTCGCGATTCAAATGTTGAGCATTGAAGAGACGCAGTGTTTCGCGGTTTCGATGGAGACACGCGGGAATTTGAAGAGCGATTTCGTGTATTTACAGTTCGGGATTTTGTTTTCGAATTTATACCAAGCGGATATCACGCGGGTGATTACGGTGAGGTTGCAAGCGGTGGATAGCGTCCAAGCGTATCTCGATAGTGTCAACGATGAGGTGGCGGCGGTTCTTATTGCGAAAAGAAGTCTTTTGCGGGCGAAGAATTTTAATGATGCGGTTGATGTTAGGAAAACGGTTGATGAAAGGATTAAAGATATTACTTCTAAATTTGGAGCTCAAATGCCGAAATCGAAGCTTTATCAGTTTCCAAAAGAGTTGTGTAATTTACCCGAGCTTTTGTTTCATCTTAGGCGGGGCCCACTTTTGGGGAGTATTTTGGGACATGAGGATGAGAGGTCGGTTTTGCGGGATATTTTTTTGAACGCGTGTTTTGATTTGTCTCTTCGGATGGTGGCGCCTAGGTGTCTTATGCATCGGGAAGGTGGCACTTTTGAGGAGTTGCCAGCTCATGATCTTGTCATGCAGTCGGATGCTGCGGTTGTGCTTGATCATGGGACAGATGTCTTCATTTGGTTGGTAAGACACATTTCTATCCATTTATCTAAAAATGTGAAAAATAAAAGAATCTTCTAATCTTTTATTACTCAGGGTGCTGAACTTTCTGCTCAAGAAGGAAGAAGTGCAGCAGCATTAGCAGCATGCAGAACATTGGCTGAAGAGTTGACAGAATTGAGGTTTCCAGCTCCTCGAATTCTTGCATTCAAAGTAATATTTTATTCTGATAATTTGTATTTATGTTTTTTTTTTATGTTACAAAGAAGAGATTTTGACTTTTTATGTGATTGTTTTTTTTAATAGGAGGGAAGCTCTCAAGCCAGGTATTTTGTATCTCGGTTAATACCTGCACACAAGGATCCTCCATATGAGCAAGTAAGTGGAGTTTTTGTTATTTTTTTTTGTTATTTGGATATTGTATTTTGAAATTTTACCTTTCTTTTTTAATTCTTCTAAAAGTAAAGTTTAATGTTTTTTTTGTGAATAGGAAGCAAGGTTTCCACAGCTTAGGACATTGAGTACAGAACAAAGGACAAAGTTGAAAAGCAGTTTTATTCACTTTGATGAACCGAGCTTTTGTGAATGGATGCGTAGTCTCAAAGTATTGGCACCCGAACCGAGTTAACCGGGTGGTTCTGATTGAAATTTCTCTTTTGTTTTTTGGTTTTTGGTTTTTTCTTTTAAGAGCAGTTGAGGATTTGTTTTATTTTTGTTTACATTTGATTTCGATATGCTGAAATGCAGCAGAAGTGGAGGAAATAAGTAAGAACATAGGGTAAAAAAGAAACACAAGGTACTTTTGATGATAAAAATTATGGCTTTTTTTCTTCATGGGTTCCTTTTGGTTTATGATGTTTGATTGGTATTATACTATTATTCTGATTAACAACAAAAGGAAAGACATTATTGTGTAACAAAATTTGATATCTTTAAATAGCTCATTGAAGACATGTCGTGGAAGTAAACCAATAAGACTCGTCACTTTATTAGTACGTAATAATGGTTATAAATAGATATCACAATGTAAGTACTAACTCAAACGGCACTTATACAATTCCAGTGCTAATTTAAACTATATCAAATATATTACGGAAAACACAATAATATAATTAAATGTTGATGTGTATGGTATTAAAAATAAGTTAATAATTGTTATACTAATTTGTTATAATATATTCTAATTATTTTATATAATATGATAAAATTATGTACATATAAAAACTATGATTTCAATAGCAACTGCCAGTTAACTACAAATAAAAATGAAAATAAATCTATTTTTTTATTGATAACAATTTTAACTATTAATAATTAATAAATAAAGGTACATATTTTTATAATCAGATCAATTAAATTTAATTTTGATATTTGGATTTAGTTTTGATATTTCACATTGTATTTAAAAATTTTATTATCTTTTAATATTCAAGAAACTAACTTTTTTGAAAAAATATTATTATAAAAATAGTTTTTGGTAACTTTTTTTTTGTTATAAATTTGGCATCAATCCGTGGGACTGTGTAATGATTATTCACCATTAACTTGTTCAGCTCCCGGTAATCAATGCACATCTGGTGTGAACCATTCTTTTTCTTCACAATAAGGATCGATGCTCCTCAAGGTGAACTGCTCGGTCTGATAAACTGCTTGCCGAAGCTGAGAGGAAAACTGCTGCATCTCTGGAGGTGCTAAGCGATACGATGCCTTAGCAATCGGGGTCGTGCCAGGAACCAAATCGATCCTGAACTCAACCAGCCTCGCAAGAGGCACATCGGGTAATTTCTCTGAGAACACATTTGGAAATACTCTGACTACAGGCACATCCGAAACCGAAACCCCCTTCTCTACCTAAGTATCAACCACATATGCAAGATAACCCATACACCCATGCTGAAGATACTGTTGAGCCCCGACGGCTAAACAGAAAGCTGAACCAACTCGATTATCCTCGCCATAAAAAAACAGTTGCCCCCCACTTGGGGTTCAAAACACCACCTGTTTCCCCACACAATCTATCATGGCACCAAACCTGCTCAACCAATCCATTCCTACTATCACACATACATCCCCCATAAGGATAGGGATCAAATCGATCAGGTAAGACACCCCAAAAATCTCCAAAGTACAATCCCGAAAAATGATCAATGCAAAAACATTGTGCTCGTTGGCAATATAAATCTTCAACGTGCACTCCAACTCTCCAAGAGGTATATCAAAATTCCTACTGAAGGATTGAGACACAAAGGACCGACTCGCACTCGAGTCAAAAAAACACAAGAGCAGGCAAGGAATTCACTAAGTAGGTACCTAGCATAATCATAATCATAAGCATACAATAAAATAACTTGACATAATAATAAATGAAAACATACTAGTAATGAAGTCAGGCGCCGCCCTGGCCTCCTCCAATGTAATCTAAAATGCATGACCCGGGCCTTCGGGGACTCAGCTCTCTTATGTCATCCATCTGTAATCCTCAAAGTAGTCGGGACAGGTGCCTTCACGGGCATGACAGCAAGCAAGGGAAATTGGGCCTTCACATATCCCACCTGATCACAATGGTAACAAATCGTGGTGCTTGGTATTGGGGCTTGCTGGTGACAATCCTTCGCATAGAGCCCCTCCTTGCCACATTTGTGGCATCTAGTTGCTGATCGACAAAGACCCTCATGTGCCTTCCCGCACTTGCCACAAGTGTGGCCCCTCTGACCTCCAGATCGTGAAAGAGCAGGCTTGAACCGCTTTGCCGCAAGCTGTGTGTAACGTCCCAAAAGTTAAGACCAAAAATTTTGATTTTTATATTAAATAAACCATTATCCATAACAATATCATAAAACCATAGTGAAATCAGATTATATCAAATAAATCCAAAAACATCAGAGTCGTGTAAAATACGGAATAATGTGGTGTGTGCACTGCAATCATCCCGAGCTCTTCCCCTTTGAACCAGAAGTACCTGAAACATAAACTGAACCTGTAATCACAAAGCTTAGTGAGTTCCCCAAAATACCACATACCATACATATCAAACATATAATGGGCCCCCGCCTAGCATCGGGCCCCGCCCACAATGTGAAAGATGGTTTTATTATTCTAAAAATTGAAAATTTTGGTCTAAATTTTTGGGACGTTACAAGGGCTCTGATACTAACTTGTAACATCCCAAAAATCAAGGTAAAATTTTCAATTTTTAAAACCAACCTAAAACCATAAATGTTTACAAAACATAAATCCCAAATGTCAAAATCATAAATTAGTGTTTCCCAAAATCAAATCTCATATAATCCGAAGGATGTGCACGATCAATCCTTTGCCTTGCCCCTATCCAATGAAGTACCTGAAACCATAACAATCAAACTGTAAGACAAAGCTTAGTGAGATCCCCCCAAAGTACCACACACAACCAAACAGATAACAACATGCATATATGAGCCTTCAGACTAAACGAACTGCCTTGTAGGGCCTACAACCTATCTGGACCGCTCTCCGGGCCTTCGACCTGAATGGGCCGCCTCTCGGGCCTTCAGTTTATCCGGATCGCCTTGGGTATGGTGGCCTTCAGCACAAAGCAGGACCGTCTCAACCCAACAAACCATAACATTTCGACATATACAATAACAATCAGTAATTAGCAAGTACAAGTAATCATACAGATCTACCACTCTACCACATACTCAGTGAACACAGGTAGTCATACAGATCTACAATCTAACACATATTCAGTGAACACAGGTAATCATACAGATCTACCAGTCTATCATATAACCAACATAACCTCAATCCAATATACCAAGACACATAATCCAGTGGAACGACATTGGTGCCTTCGAACCACAAGTACAGTGAGGAAAACTCACCTTACAGTCCGAAATGTAGCTGAACAGATCATAACTCCAACTGCTGACTCTACCGGTCACCTATACAATAAACAGTGACCTAAACTAAATCTACTACTAAAAATACCCAAAATACCCCTAAGTCAAACTTGGTCAACGGTTAAAGGTCAAAATCTTCATTAAAAAATCTCACAGTCTGCCGTCACGTCGTAACCCTCTATCTGTCATGTCGTGACTCAATGGGACAAAATAATCGAGATGGACCATTCTCACGTCATGAGCTATTAATGCTTACGTCGTGAGAAACGCTCTGAACAACTAGATGCATTAAGCTCTTAACCCCTTTTGGACAAACACCCAAAACTTCCAGAATGTCTTATCTACTCCAGAATATCATAAAAATCGTGGCTTTTTGGACATGTATGTCCAATGCATGTACCAAACACAAAATAGGGCACACAAGTAAGAAATGGCATCAAAACTCATGCAAGAGTCTTAAAGGGATGTTGGAGATCCATAAAGTTGGAAACTTTATGGATTCCAAGCACCATAACACTAAATCCATGCAAGAAATGTATAAAAAGTTAGGTCTAAGCTCATAAACCCATGAAGTTATGATCAGGAAAACTCAAAATGATCCAGAAGGTGTGGAAAGGAATGATGGAGAGGTTTGATTGTTGAGATGATGGCTAGATGGTATCCTTCTTCTTCTTCTTTGCTAGAAATCACCACAAAGAGCTCAAAAACTAACTATAGGGTGCTAGGGTTTCAAAGGGGAGTGTAGAGAGGTGATAGGGGCTTAGGGTGGGCTAACCCTAGCCCTCACTTCACAAAACCCCCAAAATTAGGGTTTTCCTCACAGACAGACCTCATGTCGTGAGCCATATAAAACTCCAAAGTTGACTTGATGAAATGCTTACCTGAACTGGGTGTTAAGATTCTCCCCCACTTGGATCAGACTTCATCCTCGAAGTCTGCTGCTGCGAATAACTCTGGATAATGATATCACATCTCTGCCTCGGGTTCCCATGTGACATCCCCATTTTTACGGCCAGAAAAGACCGATTTTGTTTATGCTTTATAAAATCAGAGTACCTCTTTTAATAAAAAATGTTGCGGAATTTGTTCCCAGAAAAACATGATAAATACGTT